GGCGGGGGAAACCGGGGTCCAGTCGGCGCGCCCCAGCCTCCCCTGGCAGGGACTTGGATTTAAAGGGACAGGAACTGCGTAATGGGAAGCTGCCCGGCACCGCGAGCGCTCTCCACCGCCGCCCGGGAGGTGTTGCGGGCGCCACAGGCCCCGGCCGGCTGGGCGGTCCCCACCCCGCCAACCCCCGGGGGACGCCCGACCGTGCCCCTGGCGCTAGCCGGCTCCACTCGACTGCCAGGCTTTCTGCAAACTACAGGTGGTTCTTTTCCCCCTAGGACACACGCTCCATCCTCCCCCTTACGGGTCGAGGGGTTGGGGAGGGGGCGCTCACCTCAGAAAACATGCATTTAGCGAATTCCATCTCCCTCCCAGGATTGAGTGAAAGTTGGGCCTCACGTATATGTCTCGGAGGAAAAGCACCCAAATCCCGTGCGCCCTGCGCCCTGGCCAACAGGTAGCCCCCCACCCCCACTTCCAAGAGCGGTTCCTTGTCGCGGGAGAGGGCAAAGTGGGACCTGCCACTGCCAGGTCTTTCTCCACTCGTTACCCCAGGAGATGATATCTGATTCTTGGATCTGAGCATCCTGGGACCAATTTAAAATGCATTTCCTGAACCATCAATCGGAAGGCAGAAGCCTGCATCCCCATCCTTCCACGAATGCCTGCGGGAAATGGCAACAGGCTGTGCAGGGAGCTGAAGAGGGGGCTGCACGGGGTTCAGGGCTATAACCCGAGTGCTGCGCAGTCCAGTGAGCCCAGCATCGCAGCCCAGGCCTCCCGAACGCAAAGCTAAGGGCAGATGAGGTGCCATTTGGCACCTCCGGAATGGCACCTCCTGCTAGCTGGGCTTCCTACTTACTTCTTCCTGCCTGGGAGAGTTGCCTTTGCCTAAAGGGATTCTCAAGATCATCAGCCACTCTCAGAGCCCCGGATTTCAACCCCTAAACACAAACCCTCTCCCTAAAGATCACCAGCTAGGCTGCAGCCACCTCTTTTACACCCCAAAGACTTTGGCGAGCTGCACTTCCAGTTCACCGTCTCTGGGATCCCTGTCTCTTGGGTCCCTGCCTGGGGTTCCCTTCCCTGTGGCCTTCTGAATGGCCAAGGTGGGTGCAGCACATCTTGGACTTTATTGGAAGTTGCCAGACCGCCTCCCCTCCCCCACCCCTGAAGCACCGCAGCTGTCAGTCTGCACTGCACCTGGAGGGGGGTGTTTCCCATTCTCCGTACAACACTTGGTATTACCAGACTTATTTTGCTTCTGTGATTTTTATTTTGTTAATTGAAGTGGGTATGAAACGGTATCCTGGGTCTGTCTGTGTACATGAAAATCACCCATTGTAGGTGGCAAAGGGGCCGCAGATGCATCTGCACAAGACTTAGCCCTAAATCCTGACTCCAGGGCTCCCAGGCTTGGGCCAACCACTTCCTGTCTCCGCTCAGTTGCCTGATCTGTAAAGAGAGAGAACAACAGTTATCCCACAGGGCCTCTGTAAGGATTCAAGGACCTGGTGGCCAGCATCTAGAAGGTACTGGTAAGTAGTGCTGTCACTAGGAGGTGGGGGGTCCGGTCCTCAGCCCGTGCCCCTTCAACACTGCAGTCACTCTCAACACTGTGTCTTCTCTCTTACCTCCTGCCTCTTTGCTGACTCGGCAGCCCTTGCTCACACAGCAGTGCATGGGGAGCTTGCTCTCTCTGGGAAGTGGTGATGGGCTCCAGCCAGTTCCTGGGGCAGCACCTTCTACGCTGTCATGTGTACCCCTCCCTCCCTGCAGTTCCGCCCTCCTTCCCTTGGTCTCAGAGTACTCCTCTGGTCTCCCATGGCCAGGGTCGCTCAGGCAGTGGCTAACTCTGGAGTGCAGATGTTAGAGGTGTGTTTGTGCAGTTTGGAAACCGTTTCCCCATACAGTAGAATGGGTAGTATTGATTGCATTCAAGAGATTTGCCAAGGCCATAAACACAGTACCACCCAGCAACTTGAAAACAAAAACTGCCCCCACAGCAGAATTCTGAAGCCTCTCGCACTGGGGATGGATCAGGACCTGGGGCATGTGTGTGCAAGGCAAGTGTTCTACCACTGAGCTACAGCCTCAGCCCTCCGGGGCCTCTCTAAGCCCCAGGCCTCAGTGACCTCCCCTGGAATCTCACACTCTCCTTGTCTTAAAGGCCCTCCTGGGCGAGAGCCTTGTGACTTTCAGTCATAGCCCTTGCGGGTGTCTCCTCTCTGGCCTCAAGATTTGCTATTTGCCTGTCTCTCTTCCTACCCAGGGTATTTTCTGATTGTAACTCTGGAGACGTGTTCTAATTTTTCTAATATAAAACCCCTTTTAACCTCCACATGAGCCTGTTTGTCTCCTTCAGAGAACTCAGCCAGGGGGTTGGGGATTTAGCTCAGTGATAGAATGCTTGCCTACCATGCAGGAGGTCCTGGGTTTAATCCCCAGCACCTGCTTTTCCCAAAAAGGAGGTGGTGGCCAAGGTAGGACTGAGAACTGACTGGAAATTATTTCTCATTATCAAGAAAACACGTACAAAATGCAATATTTGGGGACTGGAGAGATGGCTCCGCAGTTAAGAGAAGTTGTTTCTCAGGTCCAGTTCCTAGAACCCACATCAGATATCTCACAGTCACCTGTAACTCTAGTTACAAAGAATCTGGCACCCTCTTCTGGGCTTCACTGCTACTGCATGCACACAACGCCCATACCAACAAGGAGACACACACACTCATACACGTAACATAAAATAAATATTTTTTAAAAACTCAACCAGCGCCTACTGTCACCTATATTTACCACACTCAGACCCCTGAAACCTAAAGCAAGATCTCCCATGCACATACATTTTCCTTGGGTGTGTGGCCAACCCTCCCCCTACCCATAGGTGGGCTTTGCCTTTTCGCCCCTGGAATCCTGGCTGGCTTGGGAGTGCAGTAGGTGAGGCACCGTAATACGAGGGGTCAGCAGGGAGTGAGCACCCTTGTGGTCTTCAGATGCTGCTGGAGCTCACAAGGTCAGCACACTGTAAGGAAACTCAGATGAACATGGACAGACCAACCAGAAGAGAAATGGGGCTCCCAGAAGCACCCATAATCAAATAAGAGCTTGTACGCCATCCTGAAAGAGAATCAATCCTCCAGTCCCAATCTTGTCATAACTTTAGTTTCTGAACAAAATCCATTGTTGTTGTTTTAAGTCAATGATCATGCAAACTCTAGCTTAGGGAACAAACAAGGCCCACTGCATGTTTTATTAACATTTTATTGGAACACAACTGTGCCCATCACTTCGAGATGTCCGTAACTCCATGACAATGCTCACATCATAACAACGAAAGCCCCAAATAGCTGCCACTCAAGTATTTGGTTGCTGCAAGGCCTTATGTAGCCCAGGCAGACATCAAACTCTGTAGTGGAGGATGATCTTGAACCTCTGATCGACCTGCCTCCACGTCTGGAGTGCTTGGATTACAGGCATGCACCATTATGCCTAGGTTACATGGTGGTAGGGTCCAAGCCCTGGGCCTTCTTGGAAGCACTCTTCCAAATAAGCCCAATCCCCGCCACCAGCTTCTTACATAACAGTTTGCCAAGTCCTGTGACTGGACTGCGGGGATGCCATAACTGATTATCACAGACCACAGGACTCACATGATGGAGTTCTGGAGTCTGGAAATCAAAGATCAAGGTTCCAGATGACTCAGTTTCTCCCAAGGAAGGACCGTCCTCCTGGCTTGCAGACAGCCACCTTTTCACTGTGTTGAGACTTGAATTGCTCCTCCCGGTCCAGCAGTCTGTCCTCTTACCAGACCCTAGTGCTCTCTTTTCTCTGATGCAGTCTTCTCTCTCCATCCCATGATCGCTACTTACATGGACTTGTGGTGTCCTGATTCCTGGGAGAGAGATTCAGTCAGATCAGCTGAGCCTAGATGCCCACCTCTGACCTGGCACCTGTGGTCAGGCCGTGAGGTCTTGACCTGTGACAGCAGAAGAAAGTGTGACTGGCACTTGTGGCTCATTAGCGTAGCACAGCACGAGTCCAACACAGGATGCTGCAGTGTTGACGGGATGGATGACACAGTACTTGACAAGAACTGGAACCGTCCATGACCCCAGGGGCACCGGGCACTGGTCATTCCGCTTCAAGATGAAGACAATGATGGAAACGAGCGGAGAGGGACACAACGGTGACACAATTAGTTCGGATGGATTAGCCAGAAGTAAGGCTAGGATAGTGACTGGGGTGGTAAAGACGATGGTGGTGGAGAGGAAGGTGGTGATGGTGATGATGGTGATGGCTGTGTTGATGACGATGGCGATGGTGATGATGAAAATGGTGATGTGGTAACAATGGAGGCGGTGATGCTGATGATCATGGTGATGGTTACGGTTGTGGTGATGATGATCATGGTGATGGTGATGTGGTGACCTTGGAGGTGGCGATGCTGATGATCATGGTGATGGTTACGGTTGTGGTGATGATGATCATGGTGATGGTGATGATGGTGGTGATGGAGGTGGTGATGCTAATGATCATGGTGATGGTGATGGTGGTGATGGAGGTGGTGATGCTGATGATTGTGGTGATGGTT